ATATATATATATATATATATATATATATATATATATATATATATATATATATATATATATATATATATATATATATATATATATATATATATATATATATATATAAATATATATATATAAAAATATATAAAAATATATATATATAAAAAAAAATTTTATTTCAAGTTTTTCAACATTTTCTGATCAGGTTTATTAACGCGCTCTTTAAAACAGTTTATGGGAAAAACTTTGTGACTACCATGCAAAACTATATATATATATATATATATATATATATATATATATATATATATATATATATATATATATATATATATATATATATATATATATATATATATATATATTCAATTTGCCGACTAAGGGTCCAATTTGCCGACTAAAAATCATTGATAGGGGGGTGTCACACACCCCCACACCCTCCTATCGCGCCAGCCTTGTATATATATATATATATATATATATATATATATATATATATATATATATATATATATATATATATATATATATATATAGTTTTGCATGGTAGTCCACAAGTTTTTCCCATAAACTGTTTTAAAGAGCGCGTTAATAAACCTGACCAGAAAATGTTGAAAAGTTTGAAATAAATTTTTTTTTTTTTTTAAATGATAGAGTACCTGCCCAAACCAAACCCTCAGTCGATGTAGCAGCACTCCCTTGCGAGTCAGGCTATTTGTCAGTTGATGTAGCAGCACTCCCTTGCAAGTCAGGCTATTTGCCAGTCGTTGTAGCAGCACTCCGTTGCGAGTCAAGCTATAAGATAGTCAATGTAGCAACACTCTCTTGTAGCAGCAGGCTATAATGTAGTCGATGTAGCAACACTTACGCATGTTTTAAAAATGTTTTTTAATAAAACAAAAACACCACTAATTAAAAAAAACTTTCTAGTCATTATTATTGCGGTTTTTTTTAAAAAACAATAAAATTTAATGTACTTCCGCATTATTTTAATTGCTTTGACATTTTGATGACAATAAAATGCAGCTTAAGAGACAAGGTAAAAAAATTGTAGTCGAAAGAGACTTTTTTTTTACCATTAAAGTCTCTTTCGACTACACTATAAGGATATATATATATATATATATATATATATATATATATATATATATATATATATATATATATATATATATATATATATATATATATATATATATATATATATATACATATATATATATATATATATATATATATATATATATATATATATATATATATATATATATATATATATATATATATATATATATATGTATTTATATATTTATATATTTATATATATTTATATATATATATGTATATATATTTATATATATATATATATATATATATATATATATATATATATGTGTGTGTGTATATATATATATATATATATATATATATATATATATATATATATATATATATATATATATATATATATATATATATATATATATTATATGTATAATATAGCTATAAAAAATTTGCTGACATATGCAATTAGTAATGTGGCAAACAATCAAACGATTTAATGCATATCTTGAGGTTCCACAATTGACCTGAATTATAGGCTTATTTCAAATAAAAAACAATAGTTTTTGAAATTTCAAGTTTAGATATGACAACATATTTGTGTAGCAGTATACATTTTTAACAGTCTATACGAAAGTTACAAGTGAATAGAACTAAATATTTGAAAAGAAAAGCACATGAAAACTCTAGTCAAACATGTTTTTATAGCTACAAATGATGTTGTGCTTTAGTGTCCAGTTTCAGCATTTTTGATGGGTAAGCATCGCAAGCAACAGGTTTTCTGGATGAGTAAAAAATGCGTTGCGTTGAATTACTGGATCAACAACTTTCTTCAGCTTGTCTGCAAGGTAGCGTGATTTCAGTATTGTATTATGGACATGTCGAGCGCCATCTTTACATGAAGAAGTATTTTTTATTTCAAACCATGCTAGTGCATAAACTGTTATGATGAAGGTAACCATTGTCATCAGTTCATCCGATGGGCATCTTGTGGCTATATACAGGCGTAGTATTCGATTAGCCGTTGTTAACCATCTTGAATGATTGATAACACCAGGATTGCGAAGTGAAAGGCCTACAGGACAAACGCCAACACTGACAGCGGTGGACAAGTCAAACAGGTATTTTTGATCTGTACTTAAATCGTCAGAATTTAAACCTGTCGGTAGAACACAGTTTATGGGTGTGTATTTGACAACGGGAAGCTTCTCACATGCCACCAATGATTTTCCGATTGGACCAGAAAATCCTTCTGGACCATTGGTAGGTCCATCTAGATGTTCGAACAAATGCCTTAACGGTAATTCGTTAGCATGTAGCTGACATACGAACCATTGCAGCAGTTTGTTCAACGCCACTTCAAGTAATCGAATGATACCTCCTCGATTGCGTGTATTAGCAACGGTTCCGTCACAATCTACAGCTTTTATACCACCCAGGTCAACATTCTTTTTACTCAAATATGCAATCAACTCAGCCGCAATAACTTTGCTTGACCCTGCAATTTGTGTAATGTGGCCAAAATAGAGGATCCTGGTTCGGATATAATGGATATATGTTCTTCAGTTGTTAGTTTTCGATGAAATTTCCCATCACATTCTTTAATAAGGGTTATTGTACTGTCTTTTCTTCCATCAAAATATAGCCCAGTGATTACTGACATTGGCACATAATGTTCCACGTTTTTTCCAACGCTCTCGTCGCACTTTACTTCTGTCAATCACTTTAGAAACATCCCTTTCATGAATTATTCCAACATCTTGAAGAACAGCACTGGCGATTCCTGCTACACATGCTAACGCCAGAGATGGTAACTTAACTCTCATCTGCTTGTCACTCAACTTTCTAAATTGTTCATTAGGATCCGGCATACAATTGTCATCAGATTCGTCATCGCTAGCATCAGTTTTCTCTTCCGTAGAAGAAAACTCCTCACAAACATCTGACTGTTTCTCACTGATGTCATCAATGTCAGATTTGCTGCACATCTGCCTCTGCGTCAACTCTTTACGAATATATCGTTTTTGCAATTTGATGGATTCGGCCTCATCAACTTTAGCAATGATCATACCTTGTGGACCCCACTGATCTTCTAGAAAATCACGTTCAATTGCGGGTATCTTTCTTGACTTTTCACACTGACGCTGAGATATGAAAGAACACTTGCAGGAGCAAATGTCAAAGAGTTTTTTGGATTCATTTTCAAACTGAGATGTTTTCTCTCGGTATGGTCGGGAGTCTTTTCTAGACTTATATGGCTTCAGCAAATTCATGAACTTCTTGTGGTACTTGTTCAACATTTCTTGGACACGGCGGTGGCTTACATGTGGTATAGAAGCTTTGTCCCATATTTGTTCCACTTTTGTTGTCACTATTTCTGCCACATTGTGATGTGGTGGATCTTTATTGTTCAATTCATATTTAAGTTTCTGTTTTGTCAGATTGTAAAACTTCATAACATCTGCATAAGTAGGTAGTTGATTGTCAGGCATTTCAGAGGGAGCATCAAAAATGACACAAGATTAAATATGAATTGTTATTATAAATGAATTAAAGTATTATCTTATATGAATAAAATATTTTGCAATAAACGCTGTTTGTTTACTCTAGACAGGAAAAACGCATGCGAATACGTATAAAAGTGAACTACAATAAAAAAATACCGGATAGTAAATGCTTATAAATGGTTAAATTTTGAAGTTGGTTGTGGAAAAAAAATTAATTTAGGTAACGTTCAAGACGTTACCTAAATTAATTTTTTTTTTACGGAGTAATTGATTGTATCACAGAACAAGTTTTAATAACTATCCAAAGTCAAGCAAATCAAAAAAAAAATTTTTTCACGGTTTTACTCCACCCTAATATATATATATATATATATATATATATATATATATATATATATATATATATATATATATATATATATATATATATATTATATATATATATATATATATATATATATATATATATATATATATATATATATATATATATATATATATATATATATATATATATATATATATATATATATATATATATATATATATATATATATATATATATATATATATATATATATATATATATATATATATATATATATATATATATATATATATATATATATATATATATATATATATATATATATATATATATATATATATATATATATATATATATATATATATATATATATATATATATATATATATATATATATATATATATATATATATATATATATATATATATATATATATATATATATATATATATATATATATATATATATATATATATATATATATATATATATATATATATATATATATATATATATTATATATATATATATATATATATATATATATATATATATATATATATATATATATTATATATATATATATATATATATATATATATATATATATATATATATATATATATATATATATATATATATATATATATATATATATATATATATATATATATATATATATATATATATATATATATATATATATATATATATATATATATATATATATATATATATATATATATATATATATATATATATATATATATATATATATATATATATATATATATATATATATATATATATATATATATATATATATATATATATATATATATATATATATATATATATATATATATATATATATATATATATATATATATAGGAGTACTGCTTTCTCAACCAATGGTTTGAGTTGCATCAGCAATCATTTTTTTCATTATTCTTTGTTAGTTTTTTTTTTTAATCAAGGCGCACATTTTAAGAACTAAAATACATTGGGAAATTGCACTAAAAACATTAAGAAATTGCATCCTTTGATACATATTTTCCATTGTGTATGTTTATATATATCCTTCCAGTTTTTCAAATTTTTAAATTCTCTTTTTTAAAGTTATTAAAATGACTGATGAGCCTGTATTGAAAAGGAAAGCTATTCAAGTGGATATAAAGAGCAGTTTAGATTTTGAAAGTTTTACTGTAATAAAAGTTCTTTCAAATGATGCAAAGTCAAAAAAAATACATGTTCATGGTAAGTTATCTAATTTTTTTTTTTTTTTTTTTTTTAATATTAAGGTGTTATTTTTTTTTGTGCATAAAAATAACAATTAAAGGTATTGATTTTTTTTTTTTTATTATTTTATAAAAGATAGTTAGTCAGTATAAAGAACAGATCTTTTACAGTTACTAAAGGACCATAAAAAGGTTATGCTACTTTGTATTACTAGTGCTATAAATACTAATTTTATGCACTCTATTATACCAGGTTTAATAAATAAAGAAATACAATCAGTATATGCATAACAAATAATTTATTGGATTAATACTTTTAATATACTTAAAAAATAAAATCCTTAAATATATTTGCTACATAAAATATTTATTCACTTTTCAAGAAAAAATATTTTTTCACTTTTAATAATTTTAAGATTTAAAAAACCAAAACTTTACAAAAATAACCTTAGGAGCATCTTCTGAAAAGCCACTACAAAACGAAGCTTGACTTTAGCATGTTGGCTTCATTATTTGGGCTTCCTTTTCTCTATCGCTCTTAGTAATTTGGTAGGTAGGTCTACTAAAACCTAAAGTTGCCATCCCTAACATCCTTAATTTTTTGTTATTATTTTCTTTCTACAGACTTGGATCTTCTCATCTTTTGTGGTTTTCCAATATCATTCACGTCAACATCTTAATTGGAGGATTCATCATCCCTCACTGTTGTCCCCTCTTCATTGGCCAGTCCCCATTGGTTATCAATAGGTCTACCTGTATTATTAGTTAGGCCAATATAAATTGCTGATATGCCAACCCCCTGTGAAAGGTCCACCTCTGTTGTTGTTTCTCTGTACTGCCACTACCAGCAAATACAATCTTTGCATCATTTATATCTTACATTGTTTATTATCAGTAGCAAATAATACGGGTTTCAGGTGTAGAAGTTTCACTAGGCCTACTACTAGCCCCAGGCTTTGTAAAAGCTTCTTTCAATTTTTCGGAAAAATATTTTTCTATATATATTTTGGAAAAATAATTTTTTATATCAACCTTTTGCACAGATTTATTTGCATTTGTATTTGTTTGTTGTAAGGCATTGAAATGTTAAATAAAAACAATGCATCGCATTGCTTGAGGTGCACTCTATGTCAGATGAAAGGTAGTACCTGAAACTAGATTTTAAATTTAGATACAAGGTAATGCTGCATATCACTTTTCACACACTTTTTTAAATATATATGATACAAGGTATTGCCGGAAAAATGTTTTTGCTTAATACAGCAAAATTCAAATCTCATTTTTGCAGAAAATGCCAGATACAAGGTATTGCCTTTTAACCCTTGGTATCTTGGATTTTACAATTTAATAATGCTTTTGTTTTAATTACTTTATCTCAATTTTTATTTTTTATTCTAAGACTTTCATGTTTTCCAATTATTGGTTGCCATCAAAAACTAAATATTCTATTTAACTTTTATTTTAGTAATTTTAGAATTTTTTTTATTAAATTTTTTAGTTTAATTTTTTTTTTTTATAAAATTTTTTTTATAAAACCTTTTATAGTTTTATAAATTCAATTAGTTTTAGTTATTATATTATAATAATTTTATATTATAATATATTATAATTAGTTTTGTTTTTAACAGCTAGTTTTTATTAACTAATTTAGTTATTTAGTATTTTGATAATTAGTATTTTAGTTGTATATATACATATATATATATATATATATATTTTTAATTAACTAGGTCGGTTTAAGAATTCTGAGGATGATACCATTGTATCATTTGAAAAAACACCTTTTTCTGAAGACTCTATCCAAAATATATTAACTTCTGAAACTGTAACTAATGAAGTGTTTTCAAATGATATATACAGTCAGCATACAGCTATGCCACAGCCTTATCACAACACATTAACCACTCAGGTTATAAAACCTGCAACATTACATCATATAAAGAAATATACTTACCAAAAGTTAAAAGTTGTTGAAGAAACTCCTGATAGTTACAAAAAAATCACTCTTCCATATATTATGGAAAATTCTATGCGAGTTGAAGTATGTTGAATATTTTGTTTCAGTGTTTAAATTTTTTTTTAAATATAGACATAAAAAATTATTAAGCAAAAAGCAATAATGAATAAAATCAAATGGTTAAATAATTCATTGATTTTAGCCATTGTCAAATATGTTATGAGTTGGTGTCTGTTTTGATTCGCAAACCCTGATCTAACTCATGAGTTCTTCATGCAGTTGATCTAAAACTTAACAAAAATTGAAGTTGTTTTGTAGACCCAAATACTGTTTCTACATTTTTGATGGGTGGAGGTAGTGGTTTTTATTTGATGAATGTATATAGTGGTTTTTATTTGATGGATGGAGGTAGTGGTTTTTATTTGGCACAAAGTGGTTGTAGCTGTTTGTCTAAAGTAATATTATAGACAAATATATTTAAAATAATTTTGAATCATATTTTTATTAGAATAAATGTTTTAGAAAGTCCAGTGTGTGTATCAATTTAAATGTGATCTGATTTTAATGGTTTCACATTACTGTAGTTCTCAAAATCATAAAGAAAATAATTTTGTTGCCATTTATTTTTACACTATTATTTAAGGAGTTTCTAAACAAAGAAAATTTTTTTATACTTTAACAAATACAGTAATTAAAGGTTTGTTTTTTTAATTAAATTAATCTTACAAAGCTAGAAGAGGCCGCTACACCAAGGAGGCTAATTAAGAAATCCTAAGCATAAACTTTGTTAAACAAGCCGAAGTTTTAAATTTTTGGTTTCAAGATAAGATTGTCTAGAAAAAAAGTTATATTATGGCTAGAAAGTTTTTTATTGATTGAAAGTAAAGATGGTGAAAATATTTATGTGATATCTGTTTGTATTTTAATTCTGAATTTATATCGATATTTTTTTATTTCCACTTTTGTTTTATTTTTTAGTGGGTGTATAATATCCTTGATCATAAATCTGAAACTGAACGTATTATTTATGAGGACTCCGATCCTGAAAACGGTTTTGTTCTTTTACCTGATATAAAATGGGATGGAAAACAAGTTGAAAATTTATATGTGTGTGCTATCATTCGTAATCGTAACATTAAGTCTATACGTGATTTAAATGAAAAGCATTTACCTTTGTTAAAAAACTTGCTTAGGAAGGGTTTGGTATGATTTAGTTGGTTCTTTGATTTGTTTTAAAAGTTTAAATAATAATATATTATTATGTAATAATAGTTATTGCTTGCATCGGGATAATTTGTATATGTGTGTATATTATTTGTTTGATTTCAGGATGAAATTGTTAAAAAATATGGTATATCTTCCGATGAGATTCGTTCGTATTTTCACTACTATCCATCTTATTATCATCTTCACGTTCATTATAACCACTTGCAAGCTGATGTTGGAGGAACATCTGCTGAAAAAGCACATCTTTTAAGTGATGTCATTGATAACATTGAAAATATTTCTAATGATTACTACCAAAAGAAAACTTTAACTGTACTTTTAAGAGAACAAGATCCATTGTATTCTTTATTATCAGAGAAAGTGTAATATTAAACATTTTTAAATCAAACACGTTTGAATTATCGTAACTTTTTTTTATTTGAAAATATATTGAAATATAAATAAATAAAAAAGATAAAAAATTGCATCGCAAACAAAAGAAACTATGGAAACTTTGTTCTGACAACAGAATTTGAATAAAATTTTATTTAAATTTGATTTAAATAAAAATAGTCTTCAAGAAATTACTTTTAATGAAGAAGTACTTTTAATGAAGATTCTTTGTTCTTGGAGTTTTGTACAAAAAGTATTTTTTTCTTATTTCCAGTATCCACTAAAAACAAAAAAGTTATCAGTTCTATATTTCATATCACGGCTTCTATTTATATAACAAATTAATAACAAAGTACCTTAAATTAGGGGGGGTCTAAAATTCTATATTTCTTGTTTAACCAATTATTTTTAATTAATTTTTTTAGAAAAATTTAAAAAACAAATCAGGTTTTGCTAATTTTTTATGGTTGACCTTCAAATTATAAAAAAGTCTTAGCAAAAGTTTCTTTGCGTATAAAATTACGCAACTTTTCTATCAAATTTATGCTATTCAAATTTTGATTGGATGAATTTGATTTATAATCGTTGCGTTTTAAAAAAAAAAAGTTTTATCTGAAGTCTCTTTCTAAACAAAACGTTTTAAGTAATCAAAAAGACAGATTGCTTCAAAAAATCTTAATTTCCTTTTTTTATTTATTTTTAATCGTTATTCAAGCAATCAAGAAGGCTATTCAAGATTTCATTTTTTTTTTCACTTTTCTTTAATGAAGTCAAGAATAAATCTTCTTTTAAAGTGCCAGTCAGTAGAAGTTCAGTTAAATTCTAAAGTTTTAACAATTCTAAAGATAAACAGTTAGTATAAAGGAACACCGCTACCTAAAAGGCTTTATAAAAAACAAACTAGGTGATCAAATTTTGAAATTTTCTGCTTTACTCTAAAACGCAGTGAATAGCTAGTTTAAAAAAATTCTAGAAGCAGTTAATAAGGCTTGATATTGTATCATTCTTGCTAGAGTATTTTGGCAGAAGTTAGCCTCAGGACTTCATAAAAGAGAAAAGTATTACGTGTTTGGTTGATGATGGAATATGATTAGTATTAACTTTCTAATTAAGTTGTTGTAGTTGGAAAGATTTGGAAAAAACCCATTTAATTTCAACAGTAAATGTATTCTTAATTATTTAAACCATATAAAAAATGAAGGTTCGCGCAGTTTAAAAATATTTTGGAGAATTATTGTCCAGTTATTTGTCCAAAAAGTTGAAACTAGGGTATATAGTTGAAACCAGCTGCAAAAACAAATGGATAACAATGGAAGAGTAGCAAACTTTACATCAGGTGTGCAAGATGAGTTCTGTTTTAGCTTGATTAAAGTTACAAGGCAGCCCATTTAGCTATGAACTAGACATTATTGAAGTAGATAAAGATATGTTAAAATGAAAAAAAAGTTCGAAAAATGAGGGTCTTTATTTTAGGGATACAATGTAGGTCATTGTCGCAGAGGTCTATTCTGTTTAAATACATGATTGTTAATATACAAATACAAACCTCCATCTAATGTCTACCAAAGAACACGCTCATAATCTAGATGTTCTATAAGGAAAGTTCACGCAGCAATCTCTATCACATATGATGACTTTTATAGTTATTTTCCATTTTTAAATAAACTGTATGAATTATTTTCATATATAATGCTTAATTTTTTTTGTTACTTATAAATGATAAGGTATATTATTGATAAATTAAACAGAAAAAGATTTCTAGTTTTCTACTTTTCTTATATTTAATGATAATAATAAATTCATCTATTTTTAACAATGCCTTTTTTTGTCAATATAATCACTTTGATTAAAATCGAAGCAGAAGGCTAAATAATTAAAATGAAAAAAAATGATTATGATTTTCAAAATCAGCATAAAAAACTAAATAAGATATATTGGTTAAACTATAAATAAATCTAAAAAAAGACGATTATGGACCCCCCTCCCTACTTAAATACTCTTCCAGACAATAAATTTTTAAAAGACTTTCAACGAAAACTGATAATTGATAGCTTTTGGTGAAATCATCTCTTTTTTGTGTGGTTCTCAAAAGTATTTACGGTCTTATCACAGAGCACCGCGAAAGTGCATTTAACTAGGAAGTTTACGCCTCCCTTCTTACAAATGTCGCTAATTGTGCTGGAGTCGGCGTCAAACCTCGGACCACTTTGTTCTGAGCCAGAACTCTAACCACTGCGCCATGGCTGTGTCCTTAACTTCCCCGTTAATGTTTTTGGTTAAAAAATAAATAATTTTTAAAGGTTTTACTTCAAAAGCAAGGATATTGCTTTAGGTACGCCAGGAAAACCTAACGATTACAGAGTATCGCTGAAGAGTATTTAACTAGAAAGTTAACACCTACTTCCTTACCAATGACACAAATATCCCCAGAGCTCGTGTTGAACCTGGGATCTTTTGCTTCTAAAGCAAGCGCTCTAACCACTGCACCACAATAAGTATATGGCAATGCAGCTACGCCTAATATTTAAATGCCATTTGCTAATTTTTAAGTCTACTGCTAGTGTAAATTTAACCCTTTAAAGGAATTTTTTTTATATATTTGCTCCAACTTCTCATAAGTTTCTTACAGAAACATAACGAACAATTGCCAGAATTATTAGTTGCATTGTATGTAAATTAAAAAGTGTACTTTTTTGTGCAAATTTTTGACTGTAATTTTGAGTAGTGATTTGAATGTGGTATTTTTTGACCAAATGGTTGCCAACAGCGCTAAGGCATTTTAAATGAGTCCCGAGACTTTTTTTTTTGCCGCTCCTAAAGGTCTTTGTATTCGGAGTTAGCCTTAGCTATTCGTTGGTTTATTATGATTGTATTGAAACAAGCAACTTCACAAATAAGACAACTGCTTTGTTAGTCTTTTGTGATAACAAACTTAGGCACCTAATATTAATCAGTTACTGCAATTATAGATTTTTGTGTAAATGTAAACAATCGGAAAAAAAAATCACAGTACCTTATAGTAAAGTTTATAACCTTTATTGTTAGAAAAAAAAACTGTTCCGGTTCCGATAATTTAAAATGTGTAAGAAATACAGTCCAGTGAGCTCGTAATTTATTAAAATGTTTTAATACGTGCTTAAAAAATATATTTTTTGTTTTAGGTGCCCCAAAACGAGCAACGAGTCATAGAGTACCGCGTAAAACATTTAACGAAGAAGTTCACGCCTCCTTCGTTACTATAGCGCGAAATATGGCCAGAGCTCGCTACGAACCCTGGATCTTCTGCTTCGAAAGCAAACGCTCTAACCGCATTGCCATAGCCGAAAAAAATGTCTCAAACACGTCTTGTGCATGCTGGGTAAAATGGGCAATATACAAATTAGCTCCTCTAACTCCATTACTTTCGTTATCTCCATTTTTATAAAATTATCCACATTTATAAAAAAACTTTATAAAAATATTAGAACTTTCTCCATTATCCTTATTTGAGATTATTATTATTAATATTTTATTAATCACCCTCTGTAAAATAAATTTACAAGGTAAAAACACAAACTAAGAAAAAGAGATAAAAAAAAAAGTATTATTTAGGAATGTTTTCTTCAAGTGTCTTTTTAAAAACTGTTCGCTGTTCTTTTACATTCCAACATTGAACCGCGTGTACCAAAATATGAAGAGTAGCTTCAGGAATTACATTCTCTAAGACTTTAAGTTTTACTTTTTTTTTTAGCCAGCATTAAGGTTTTCATATTCAGTTTATGACTATCACATAATTCTTTTATATCATCTAAAAAAGAAGATTTAGCTGAAAGTAGTTAAGTTGGGAGTTAATAATTTCAAAGGTTACTTTATTGTTTAAAAGGCGGATAAATAGATTTATTTTGTTTTGGTGTATATAATTTGACATCTCCTTAACTTTAAATAGAGAGTGTATATAGTTTTTACTATACTTGGAGACATTAAAAATTGATTTAACTGCGTTCCTTCCAAATGTGTCGAGTCTTTTCATTGTTGCATCTTTATTTTCACAGAGCTCTAGACCGTGGGTTAACGTTGGAACTGCTAATGATTTATATAATTGGATAATAGAACTTGGATGTGCAAACCGGATTCCAGATTGAATAAGAGTTTGCACTGTTGCCCGGAAATTTGATACCCTACCATCAATATTCATTCTATTTAGTGAAGCAAAAATTAATCATCTCGGCTTTACTTGGGATACAAAATATTTTTTGTAAAGTAAAGCCGAGATGATTAAGTTTCTCACGAAGTATAATTTGATGGTTGTCTAGAGATATTGTGCAGTTCATTATTTGTCTTTTTCCAGAGAGCAAAAGTTCCGTTTTGAAAGCATTTAGTTTTATCCCGTTTAAATTGTTGTATATGTTACACGTTGAAATAAGTTTTTTTAGGCCCGAGAGAGTAGAGCTGAAAAGAATGATGTCGTCAGCATAAGCTACAACACAAGTCAAGTTTATATATAGTAGTACCAACAATTTCATCATTTTTTATAGTTTCGAGTAGCTTCTCAGTGTATATGTTATATAGGTAGGGTGAGAGAATCGATCCTTGTCTTACTTCTTGCTTAAGATCAAATGAGACTGATTTGCAACCTAGGTATGAGACAGTTACACTGCCGCTACGGTATAAAGAAGATATAGTGTTAACTATTTGGAGAGGTAGATTTTTATCAAAATAAAGTTTATTAAAAAGAACATCCCAGTTGCAGCTGTCAAAAGCCTTTTCAGCATCTAGTGAACATAAATAAACAGGCGAATTGTTGCGATTATAATGCTTAATTATTTCGCTTACAACAAATTCAGCATGGAGGGTTGAGCTCTTATTATTAAAATCAAATTGAAGTTGATGAGTTTCTTTTATCTCTAGGATAAAATGATGAGTTTTATTTATCTAGGCATATGAGTAAGATAAGAGTTTATTTTATTCTAAGAGTTTAGTAAATATTGGAATAATGCTGATACCGCGGTAATTATTTGGATCGGTAAGTGAT